CCCCATCAAGCTACTATTGACTTTCTTCACAGAATTAGAAAAAAGTACTTTAAATTTCATATGGAACCAAAAAAAGAGCTGTATAGCCAAGACAATCCTAAGCAAAAAGAACAAAGCTGGAGGCATCATGCTACCTGACTTCAAACTATACTATCAGGCTACAGTAATCAAAACAGCATGGTACCGGCACCAAAACAGATATATAGAACAATGGAACAGAACAGAGGCCTCAGAAATAACACCAACACAGCTACAACCATCTGGTCTTTGACAAACCTGACAAAAACAAGCAATGGAGAAAGGATTCTCTATTTAACAAATGGTGTTGGGAAAACTGGCTAGCCATATGCAGAGAACTGAAACTTGACCCCTTCTTTATACCATACAAAAATTAACTCAAGATGGATTAAAGACTTAAACATAAGACCTAAAATCATAAAAACCCTAGAAGAAAGCCTAGGCAATACAATTCAGGACACAGGCATGATGGATAAAGACTTCATGACTAAAACACCAACAGCAATAGCAACAAAAGCCAAATTAGACAAATGAGATCTAATTAAACTAAAGAGCTTCTGCACAGCAAAAGAAAATATCATTAGAGTGAACAGGCAACCTACAGAATGGGAGAAAATTTTTGCAATCTATCCATCTGACAAAGGGTTAATATCCATAAGCTACAAGGAACTTAAACAGATTTACAAGAAAAAAAACAGCCCCATCAAAAAGTGGGCAAAGGTTAAGAACAGATACTTCTCAAAAGAAGACATTTATGTGGCCAACAAACATATGAAAAAAAGCTCATCATCACTGGTAATTAGAGAAATTGCAAATCAAAACCACAACAAGATACTATCTCATTCCATTTAGAATGGTGATCCTTAAAAAGTCAGGAAACAACAGATGCTGGAGAGGATGTGGAGAAATAGGAATGCTTTTACACTGTTGGTGGGAGTGCAAATTAGTTCAACCATTGTGGAAGACAGTGTGGTAATTCCTCAAGGATCTAGAACCAGAAATACCATTTGACCCAGCATATCATTACTGGGTATACACCCAAAGGGTGATAAATGATTCTACTATAAAGATACATGTACACGTATGTTTATTGCAGCACTATTCATAATAGCAAAGACTTGGAACTAACTCAAATGCCCATCAATGATAGAGTGGATAAATAAAATGTGGGGCATACACACCATCGAATACTATACAGCTATAAAAAAGGATGAGTTCATGTCCTTTGCAGGGACATGGATGAAGCTGGAAGCTATCATTCTCAGCAAACTAACATAGAAACAAAAAACCAAATACCATATGTTCTCACTCATACATGGGAGTTGAATAATGAGAACACATGGACATATGGAGGGGAACATCACATACCAGGGCCTGTCATGGGGTGGGTGGCTAGGGGAGGGATAGCATTAGGAGAAATACCTAATGTAGATGACAGGTTGATGGGTGCAGCAAACCACCATGGCATATGTATACCTATATAACAAACCTGCATGTTCTGCACATGTATGCCAGAACTTAAAGTATAATAAAAAAGTTTCAGCACGAAGAATAATCACAAAAGTTTCTAAAATAAAAATTCTCTAACATGGAGAGCAATCTTTGCTGATTGAAAAGTTAAGCCTTCATGAAACAGTCCATTTGCTTCACAGCCATGTAAAATTGAGAATCTAAATTGGTGTGATACACCTTTTGAGCTGCAATTTTTAAAGCTTTGGACTATATCAGTGAAGTATACAATTCTATTGATCCACTATTCTAGCTGGCCATCCTTGAGATTATAAAACTTTTTTCCAGAATTAATGGAAAAAAGGGTCAATGTTTGGTGAAACCTTATAGAAAAGATAAAATTTAATATGCTAATTTTAGGACAGAAACAAATGAATATGTACAATTTCTTATGATAAACGTAACTTAGGATCTGGAGTGTTAAAACCTTATGGACCTTCCTGGGCCACTGGCAGTTAACAGATATGATTTTTTGAATCATAGATTTGATGTAGGTCAAATTGGCCTTAGTTTTGCTTGCCCTAATTTAAACTAGCATGATTACCATGATGAAATCAGGGTTGGGTCAATCTTCTCTGGCCTTCTGTAGGGGCACTTTAGTGTAGACACAATACCAAGGCAGAAGCAGTGGACTGCAATTATGTTAAGTTATTATTAGGTACATAAATAGATACATTTGAGGATTCCATTTTTACAAAGAGTGATGAGATGAAACCTTGTTTTCAACTGCAGATATTATGTCTATGAAGCAGAGGCTATCAGAACATGAAAGTGGCATGTTTCTTCCTTGGTAGTAGGTGAGGGAATGGTGATGCTGGGGAAAGATGAAGATTAAGAATATGGAAATATTAGGAATAACATAATAAAATAAATATTATTTCAAGGCTGCACTACACTGAAATAATTTGCTTCTATATGCAACTTGTATAGAGATTAAATAAATTACATTACAGAGTGAGGAATAAAATGGCTATCAACCCATGTTTATAAATGTGGTTCTCACAATTTAGGCTTAGTATGATTTATTAATGATGATATAAATGAAAGTCATCTTCATATTGATTTAAAAGTTTTATTAAATATAAAAATAGGAAAAATAAACACAAGAATAGCAAGGAAACTACTAAATAAGAAGACCTCTGGGAAGAGGTAGTGGGGGCAAGCAGAACTACTCCCAGGTATAAAAATGTGTTACAAAGCTCTTTCATTAAATGGTAAGTACTTACACAAGAATACACTATCAGATAAATGGAATAAAATAAAACATCCAGAAGTAGATCCAGCTACATATAAAAATTTAGTTTATGACAAAAGTGGTATCTCAAATCACTGGAACAAAATGCTCTGTTTACTTCACAGTGTGGGGACTAGTGGATAGCTATTTGGAAAAAGATAAAAGTAGATCCCTTTCTTTCATCACATCCAAGAATAAACTCCAAATGGATCAGAGATCTAAATATAAAAAGTAAAACTATACAAGTACTGAAAAGAAGAAAACACCCCATGAGTGAATTCCTCTGAAACCAGTGTATAGGAAAGGCTTTCTAAGTATCACTAAAGTGCCATACACAATAAAAGACTGATAAATTTGACTACATAATAAAAATTTTGCATGTCCTGAAAAATAATCACTAATTCAAAGACAGTTGACAAACTAGGAGAAAATAGTCAGAACATATGTCAGATAAAGGGTTAACACACTTTATTTGAGAACTTTCACCAAAAAATGTATATATACTTTAAAACAATATTAAGATGGTAAAAACATATAATTTTACCTGAAAAAAAAAAAAAAAGATAAAATCAATACAATCAAAGTTAAAAAAAAAAAAAAAAGGAAAAAAGACCTATAGAAATCCTTTAGAAAATGACCCATAAAAATCCTACTAAAAGAAACAAAAATATATAAAAGTAGTCCTTGGTCACATGAAAATATGTCTAATTTTCATGACATAAAAATGCAAATTAAACTACATTGAAATTCCCTTTTTCACCCAAAGAGTTGGCAAAAATTCAAAAGCTTGAGAACACATTCCATTGACAAGACAGTGGAGAAACAGGTAATGCCATACATTGCTGATGGACAGGTGGAACTCCTCTGGAGGGGAATTTAGCCCTCTCTAAGCAACTACATATACCCAAATCTCAACACAGAAATCCCTCTATGAATTTATTTCAAATGTATATCTTTAATAATCTGAAATAGTATGAAAGCACATATGTATTAAGTTATTCATAGAGTACTGTCTTTAATTGTCAAGCATAGAAGATTGGTTGAATAAACTATGGTACATACAGAAAATGGAGTACTATGCAGCTATAAGACAGAATAAGGAGGGACACTATTTACCGTTATGGAATGATTTCTGGGAGACTTAATTAGGGGAAAAAAGCAAAATGCCCATATATTATTATGGGCCATATAATATATGGGCCATATAATATAAACAAAATGCCATATATATATTACGCTAACTTTGTGTATAAAAGAAGGGACATTTTTAAGATTCATATAAATTATTATTATTTATATAATAAGCACAAATCAGAAAGCAAGTTAGTTGCCTTTAGAGGTTTGGGGAAATTGGATAGAAGGAATACAGGAAGAAGTGACACATCTCTGATCATACCTTTTTCGTACAGTTTGACTTTTGAAAGCATGTTAATATTCTACATATTCCAAAAATAAAATCAATATGAATAAGAAGGAAGTTCCAAAACTGAAAGCAAACTGAAATACATTAACCTAATTACATTTCAAATGAACAGCACGGCCATACTAAAGGAAAGTAAAGGAAGAAGGAAAGAACAACTAAAGTAACTTAAAAACACAGTATCTAACTATATGCCCTCATTCTTGGGGTAGGAGGGGAAGAATAACTGCAAAGAAATCCCAAAATCTTTTTGGTAGATTTGTTATTGTAATGGCATCGGCAAAGCAATTCCAAACCTACTTCAAGTATACCAAAGAGTTGTACAAATGAGTTAATATGTTGATGTGGTTAGAAGTTCTCACTGTGGAAGAAGGGATGTACAAAAATGGAATGCTGGAAGGCAAGAAAGTACACTTTGGGAGTGTATTGGAACTGAAGTTTTGACTTGAACTCATGATTTCTAAAATATATGTATATTTATGTGCACAGATACATGCACATATATATTTACACATGTCTGTTATATTGGTGTGCATGTGTATGCATGTATGTATGTGTGTTTATAATATATATGTACATAGACTTCCTAACTCTCTTTACTGAGAAAGCCAAGTAGCAAAGACCAGAGTAGCCAAGCAAACCTAATACCCAAATCATGGTCCTCACTAAAAGGAACCAGGGCTTCTGGGAGAAATATCTGATTCCAAGGCTCAGACAGGCTAGCTTGCTCCTGAGGAAATGTGCTACCTGTGGCATCCAACATTTATGTCCTTCTTCCCTTCAAATCCTAGGAAGCCAGCCATAGTTTCTTCCACTTACTATTGATACGATTGTCAGACAGTCTTCCTGGGTTTCCATGAAGTTTATAGTGATCCTCAGGATATTAAAGAACTTCCACCAATCCCAAATTGTCATTTACCTTTATCCTGTGTTCCTGCAAACATTTCTTTAAAGGCAATGTAAAACTCGGATCTTAATAGCCATCATAGTAAGCTTCCCTTATTTGTAATTGGATCCACATTTCTACTCCCAGATGGTCTTGTCAGAATTATAGATCTGGAAGGTTTTCTAGAACACAAAATAAATGTCAAAAACAGAAGCAACAGCAAATTAAATAGCTTACATTGCAGAATACACTCAGTATAGCATGGATAAAAACTCATTGGTCAAGAGGATTTACAGTGTGAATTTGCTGAAGCTTATTGGCCCCACAAGCTCAGTAGCTGACAATGCATCTGCCCTCAGAGCATAGGGAAAAATACACCAGAGACAAATGGCACTATAATAAACTAGCCCTCTAACATCTTCCAGAAATGAACATAACATTTTTATTACCAATAGGATTTGAGTGAAGATTATAGTTTAGATTAGCAGCCACAATCATGTGTCCCAATCCCTGGGGCAACCTATCTGAAGGAGAGTTACCCAATCACCCAGAATTGCTGCCATCCAAGGCCAATGGCCTTTATACCTACGTGGAGGCAGGTCTGAGCTCTGATCCAGACGTGTTCGACTTGGGAAGCAGTGTCCGAGCAGTCACCAAGCAGACAGGGTATGCTTCTTCCCTTGTAGAAGGGTTAGTGAGGGCAAGGAAAAGCAACTGAAAATTATTCTTCCCAGAGTTCAGATAAGGTGTTAACTGCCTAATTTACAGGCCCAGAAAGGACCTGCACGTTATGGCAAATTTTGAGTTCTGTAGTTTTTTTAAGTGTGAGCTCCCAACTTTCTAGCATGCACTCCTTGCTTTTGCTTCACACTGTTAAGCCATTGTCCCCTTTTTTGTATGAACGTTCATGGCTACTTCTACAGATTAATTCTGGCATAACAGAAGAGGCTCAAATGACTGCATTATAAGATTGAAGCTCACCTAACGTCAATCTTAGTTACGTGAGCTAGAATATCACGAGTTTTAATGTTTATTTGCTTAATTTACTTTTCTTTGGATGAAAAGAAAATGGGAGACTGAAAGGATTATGATTGGAAAATAGATTTTCTTCTCCCTCTCTATCCTTAAACTGCCTAGTACTGTGCTTTCAAGTGGCTTATGGAAAGGATTCAAAGTGAAGGGTGAAAAGACAAATAGGAGCTGTTTCTATTGTCATCCTCTGAAGTTTCCATGAGCAGACTGAAAGTTCAATTGAGGTCTAAAAAAAAATTAGCAGATGCCAAAAGGCCAGCAGCCAAGATTTGTGTCTTTGTGCAAGAACTGAATAGCTACCAACAGCTAGGAAATTTTTAAAACCTTGGCAATGATGGAAAAGTCCTATGAAAAAGAGATTGAGAAAGGGAGAAACGTTTCTGAACTAATTAGACTTATGAACCTGTAAAAGAATGTTCTCTACAGATCCTAGGCCTCTAAGCATGTAGATAACTGAAATTTTAAGACTAGGAAATGACATTTATTTATTTTTTTAATGATGCTGTAAGTAATGGTGGTTGAAATGACTCAGAGCTAACTTGGAATACTTTAGTGAAGGGAAGTGACATGCATAATTATTAGTCAAAATTGAAGTTTACAACAAGTAAATATGTAAATGTGTAAGATGATTCTGTTTTTAAGTTAACATGACATCTTAACAAGAGGTTTTTTTTTTCTCAGTTATAAATTTCATTAATTACATTCAGAAAATAGTAATTTGTCCTTCTTAATTTCCTTATGCTTCTGAATATTTAAATTGAAAATATATCTGTTTTGGTCATCTTCTTAAAAAAAGCTACTGTCAAAATAGTGAACAAAATTTACGCTGTGCAAAATGAATTGAAATCAATGCCAAAAAGTAGAAATGTGTTTTATAAAGTGGAATTTGAATTTTTAAGGTAAAAATGACAAAAATATGATTAAGGCAAATATGTAGGATTTTTTCTTTTTTCTTTTTTTTAACAAGTCTCAAAGATCTGACGGTTTTAAAGCAAATATGTAGGATTTTATTTACTGGTCAATTTATAAAACATGTAAATGCTTCAAAATGCTTATTCAGTGATAATTTTTTTATATACTGATAATCTTTATCAGAAATGAATATATGCTGTTATTTCTGCAAGGACAACTTTTCTATTAAATCGAGTATCTTAACAGAAAGCTGGATGTAATGACAGAGAAGAAACAGTAGAGGGCACTTTAGTTCTCTGACAAAACAATACCATTTCTAAAACTTTCATAAATCAGTAAAATCGACAATGAGATTTGAACTACCTAGTGAAGGTTTAACAAAAATGTAAAGTAGATTCTTCTGCTTCCCATAGCCTAACAAAATATATTTTAGGTAAATTTCATTTTCTTTCTTTAAGCAATTCATAAATCAATTGGGTATCATATGAAAAACATGTTCTCAGATCTGCAAATTAGTAGATCCAACATTTCAAGAGTATTTCATTTAAAAAAAAATCACATTGTTATCTGGAAATTGCCTGACTTATTGGATGCACTTTATTTAAATCAGTAAATTCTCATTATCCAGGATTTTTTTTACCAGTAAATTGAATACTCTAAATATGTAAGAATTAGCACTACAGAATTGTATATTTCTTGGTCTTAGACATGTTTCTTATTAATAATTTCCTCTAAAATCATCCCTATCGTCGTCCTCACCATCATAATCATTATTTCAAGGCATAGTTGCTGCTTTTAAGTATCTTCCACTCTATTCTAATTGAATAAAACAATAAATACATGAAAAAGCAAACAATAGAAAAGACATTGCACAATTAAATCTAAATTGTGTAGTTCAGTTTGTAAATGAACTCAGGCAAATCATTAAAATTCCCTGGGCCTCAGTTTTCACATTTTATAAATGAGATTCCATGCTTGATGATCAGACTCTGCAACACTGTCCTTTATTCTTACTTTGTATATTGTTCTATCAAATTTGGTCATCTGTGTCTTAGCTCTCAACAGATTTATGGTGTTTCTTAACCTTTTAGAATTTAAAGACCTACGGGAAAATCTTACAAAAGATATGGAGCTTATCCTCCTAAAAAATGCTATAATATATATCTTACTCAAAATAAGTATTCATTTCAGGAAGTTCGAGGAACTTCAGAAATCAATCCATGGGCTCCACAAACACTGTATAAAGAGGAGTTCAAGACCAGTCTGGGCAAGAGGGTGAGGCCCTGTCTTTATAAAAAAAATAAAAAGAGAGAGAAAAGTGAATATTTGATAGAGGCACAAATTATACAGTTCCCATATATTTGGGGGGATATCTTTAGAAATTTCGTGTGCTGTTGTTAGGTAAAGATAGGCGATGCAGGTGGAGAGGGAGGCTGGCCATATCTAGCAATTTTGGACTTTATGAAACAAGAAGAATTAAACTAGAGTGTTTAAACATAAAGGTGGCCAATATGCATTTTGGACAGCAAAATCAGAAAGAATGTAAAATAACTGGAGAAGAAAGACAGGAGATGAGGAAACCGTCAGTTGATCAGCACAATAATCTCGGTTGGACATAGTGAGAGCCTATTTTGAAGGCTCTCCAACATTAAGGATGTTCCCTTTTCTAAGATAGACCTACTTTGATTCTGTATAATAAATAATAAGACAAAGTTTTCAAACACTAAGGGATATTTTGAAATTAGCCAAAGGTTTGTTCTGTAATGTTTTTTGTTTTCTACTCAAGGCAACAGTTAGATATTAGCAAACTTGCTTTTGTACCCTTTTGTCTACGTGGGGTACATCAATAGCTTAAGCAGCCGAGGAGCCACTGAGGACATGTGGCAACTCCTCCTGAATATGAAGATATGGAGGGCTTTGCTCACCATCCACATTCAAGTTCAGCAGCAGGTGTTCTGTTGCTGAACACCTGTATTCAGTGACATGGACCCATATGGAAATACCTCTCTATTCTCTAGTAGCCAAATTAAAATGAGCAAGCAAAGTTTCTAGATAGGGAGGTTTATCACAGGAATTTAGTGAAAATTAAATGCAAGATATATAACTTTATGCATACATTGCCTTCTAGAAAATTTGTAGGCAGATCCTGATACTGCCTTACATTACCAAGTCCATTTATTTTCTATAAGAGAGGGAAAATATCATTAATTAAATGGTGAGGATGAGATACAGAGATGTCCTCATTCTTGTGAAGGGAAATTTAACTAGGAGCCTCCAAAAATAGAGCCAGAAATAAGACAAGGTCAATGGAATTGGAGAAAATAGAAAATAGTATAGAGTATTAGTTGGTTGAGTCCACCCAGAACTTAATGTTTCGTTAGATGTGGGAAGTGAAACTGATGGTTCTAAACTATCTGTAGAACAAAACCCGCATCCCTCATTGGAAGCACTTCAAGATCTGGCTCAATCTGCTTTCTGGCCTCACGTCCACCTAGTACCTACCTCACGGTCTGTGTTCAGTGGTCACCAGACTACTAAACACGCCATACTCCCTGATGTCTGTGGGAAGTAATGTCCTCTTGAACCAGAAGGTCCTTCCCCACGACTCTCCCTCTGGTGAAATCCTATCCATCCCTAAACCCAACCCCAAAGTAACTTTCTCTACATAAGCTCTTGTTGACTCCCTGTCCACCTCCTGCAGGCAGAATTAACTACCCACTCTCTGGGCCACCTAGGACTGTATTCATGTGTATAATGCTCATCACAGAATACAGAGGTGAACATTATTCACATCCACCTTTGCCACTGACTGTGAGCTCCTCAAAGAAAGGTAGTCTAATTCCTTTCATACCCCAAGCTCCTAGCACAATGTTGGTACATAATATGAAATAGAACAGCATTTCTTAAAGAAAAAGAGAGGAATTCCAGTCAAAAGGCCCTTGTAATGATCCAGAAAGTCTCATATGGGCCTAGATATGGAAGGTGGGACTGGGAATAGAAATTCAAAATTGTTAAAATAGAATAGCAGATTGGATGGGTAATTAAATGTAGGAACTGAGAGATAAGAACAACTTGAAGATGATTCTGACCAAGTTTTCTGGCCAAGTTTTCTGAGAGAACATAGAGGATATTGTAAACATAGGAAGAGAAGGAAAACGGAAAGGAAATTAATTTCTTTTCAGACTTTTCAACTTGACATGAAGGAGGACATTAATTTGTAGATTTTAGAAGATAGCTG